ATGCCAGTATCTTTGAAAGTTTGTGTTCTCAGAGGAGCACCTATATGTTAATTCTTGATCATAATGTGGAAAACTCTGTATGTAGTCCACTTCAGAAAGGAACATGATCTCCTTATTTCCAGTGCTCTGGGGTTCCTTTGGCATTTCAACATCATGCTGAACTTTCTGCTCTTGTAGAGTGACCAAGGCCTGAAAGCCTCCTCATCTGGACTTTCCTTTCCAAGGAATGACCCAGCAGCATGATGGAATGAATGTGCATGTTACATGGGATACCTCATTCTGACAACAATAGGTTACTTGTGAATGGGTGGTAAATCAACAGAATTCTCTTGGTTTTCTCAGTCTTTTGAATTTATTTTGAAGCATGCACTCTACCACTAAGCTATATCCCCAACCCTTTTCATTTTTTTGTTATATACCCAAGAACCTAGAGCAGAACSAGAGTCTGCAACCCAAGTTCCCCAAAGTGCTGAGATGGTGTGTTGTTATGGTTAGGATAGTCATGTGGGCTCCTCATTCCATCTTCCTTAGGAGATCTCATTCTAGAACTTACAGTATCTCTTACCTTTCTCTCCAATTAACCTTGRTCTATGAAATGTTTTTCTCAGCTCCAAAAGACACTATTTTTTTTTATTCCAAAATAAGTATCTCCCATCACTACTAGTATCCAAAGCCACCACATTTTCTTTGTCTCGTTCTCCACCACTACATTTCTTTGATGATTAGTAACAACTCTCAGCCCTATCACCTCCCCAGCCTCTCTCTTCTTAAATCCTGTTGGCCTAATAAAATGGCAGTTATAATAGGCTGATAAAAACCACTTGCTCAAGTTGTCTTGTGAGACTCCCCATACACAGTGATCTATTTCAACCCTCAATAACTATTGAGCCCCTGCATGTCTCTCTTCTTTCTTACACTTTCTGTCTTGTTACTGGACCCTCAGTCTTCTAATGCCCCCTATGTATAGGTATTGAACAAGACTGTGTGTGTGTGTGTGTGTGTGTGTTGTGTATGTGTGCATATATTCTCTTCTCTTTTCTCCTTCCCAAAAGGTTTCTCTAAAAGTAGCACTATCCATTCTAACAGCTTCAACAGTCATCTCTAGTCAGAAGATATCATGAAAATTCTAATATTTAATGAGATTTGCAACAAGTAAATATGTTGCACATGTATATCTTATTTAATTTTCAAAGTAACATTTGTTGGTCCCATTTTATCCTTGATACATTTAACATCCAGGGAAACTAAGTGATTTGCACAAGGTCACATAGTCAGCAAATGAAATCAGTGCCTGGATTTAAGCCCAGGCAGCCTGACACCTGTGCACATCTTCTCCATCATTATGCTCCATCAAGGCTGGACTCTAATTCAACCTCCTTCCGAAAGGCACTCCTGATCACTTAATGTGATAGGATCCCATTTGGTCTTCCATATGTCATTTACATTATCAGTACATCATGGTCATTTGCACACACACACTTTAATAGGACTTTGGACACCCCATTGCACCATTGACTYTGGGAGAAAGATTGTATTTACTGATTTCATATCACCTTTCATGTTAGCCTATGACAACTGGCAAAGGAACTGACAAATTGAGTGGAAGATAAATCATCTGCTTCTCCCAGYAGGTCCAAGCACCTATTTATATCCAGATGTGATAAGAGTGCAAGAAGAAAACAAACTTCAAGGTGTCACCAGGCTCCAAGTGACTAATCACTCTGGGCAAGATGGCTTAAGCTCTGTTTATTTTGAAAGATGTGTAAGGAAAGGTAGAACAAACCACCATGTATTACAGATCATAGTGCTGTGTCTGCAGCAATGATGCATGCTTAATTAATACAAACTTATTAAGCAAGATGTTATGCTTCATCTACTTTAATAGGACAAAAATCCCGTATTTCAAAATAACTATCCAATCTCACATTGAGAAATCCTTTCCAAGAGGTGTGACTGACTTCAACTCTAAATAAAGGAATGTGGTAAATGAGTCACTTTCCATCTGTTAAGGAAAACACCAAGAAAGTTTTTTGTTCTCCATGAAGGTCTCTCATGTTCTTGCTGTGAAATAAAATTTAAATTAAATAAGACAGGAAAATAGACATTATTTGGGGCTGATAAACTTTGAAAACTTCTCCTTTGTTATAAAACATGTCAAGGGAGAATAAAGAACAAAGTTTCCCAGGCCCAGCCTGTGCAACCAACGGAGGGCCTTATTTACATCTAGTTGAACTATCTGTTCAACTAAGAGAGAGGAAGCTTGCCTCAGAGCCTATTCAAGCAGAAAGTACCCATGGATTTCATGGGAAATGCTCTATTTTATTTGGGCATATGCGGAGTTTAGAGATGAAATGTGGGCAGGAAAGGAGAAAGAGGAAAATCTGCTGACCCTCAGAGGTTGACCTTGAACATCCTACATGTTTATTGCCCTACAAACACTTATATAACTTAGCCATCCTCTAGATCAGCCAAAAAGGGTTATTTGTGAGCAGGTTASAATAAGGTTCTGAGTAGTGCCCATAAAAGAACTGTGACCCAAAATTCTGTTCCAAGACTGTCACTCTTTGTTTGCTCTTTGTAATTTGTCCCTTATCACATTGACCTTCAAGCACAAGAGGAATTATGCTTCATTGTAGAAMATTGGTTGAACAGGTGTATCATGATCTATTTATTCAACCATTCATTGTTTGATACAAGTTATTTCCATATACTGGCTGTTATAAATTACTTCCATGAATATGGGGATCCAGATGTATCTTCTAAGCACAGACTTCATTTTCTTGCACTCAGAAATGGGATTGATGGATTATATATTAGGTCTATTTTTAATATTTTTTTAGAAATGTACATACTGTTTTCCATATTAATTATACCAATTCATAATCAATAGTATGCAGGAATTTTTTTCCTACACTGTTGCCAAATATGTTATCTCATACTCTTTTGAAAACAGCTACATTACCAAATATGAGATRTGGTTTTCCTTTACATTTCTCTGATGATTAGYGATGCTGAACAAAATTTCACGTCTGTTGGGCATTTGCATGTTCTCTTTGGAAAAATACTTTTGAGGACCTTTGCACATTTTTTAATTAGGTTATTTATTTATTTTTGTTGCCTTTGTTGTCTTGCTTTTAAATTGTGTGAGTTCCATCTATGTTTTTACTTTTAGCCCTTTTCAAATATGTTTTCCTGTTCTGTAAGTTTCCTTTATACTTTTTTGATGGTTCCCTTTGATATGAAGAAACCCTTTTGTTTGATTTTTACCATTTGTCTGGTTTTGCTTTTATTACCTGTGCTTTTGCTTTCATATCACAAAATATAATCACCAAAAACAATGTTGTGAAGCTTTTTTTTCAAGAAATTTTATAGTTTCATATGTTACAATTGAGTTTAGAACTCATTTCTAGTACATTTCTAGTTAAAAAAAAAAAAGTTCCAATTTCAAAAAAAAGTAATGTAGAGATCAAAATGTTTATCTACAAGATTTTTTTCATCTATTGTATGCCTTGCAAAAAATACTCCAAGAGACTAAATCACACAGCATTTCTATTTAATACTACTTAATATAATACATCATTCTAAATTAATGTGTTAATTTAGTTTGCATATGTAAACTAAATTAATACATTAAATATTAGTAGATATTTGATGCTTGTACATCTCTGAAGACTAACATTCCAAGTGGTCAAATGGCTTTTTCATGGATCATTTCCTTAAGAAATAGGGAATCTTCAAATAGACTAATATAGACTGAAGGAAATAATAAATGAATATATAAATATTTATGAAGGACTAAAAATTAATTAAATATCAGCATTAGAAATCATTTGCTCACTCATACATTGAACAACTATTGATTATGTTACTGTCTGCTAAGCAAATAATAATCAGAATGGTCTAGTGCTAATAGTTCATAGAAATGTTAAAATAGAAGAAAAAGGTTTTTTAGCTTATTACTATAAAAAATTGGAAACATATAGAAAAGTAGGAAAATAATATAAAGGATACCCATATAACCTCCATCCAGAGTCAACAATTATTAACATTTTTCTAGAATTGCTCCATGTGTACATGCAATTTGAATGAACAATTTGAAAGAAAATTATAGTTGTCATAACACTTTCCCCCTTAATACTTCAGCATGCATCTACAGGATTAAAATATTATAATATTGCAACCATTTCTAACAAAATTAACAATGCCTATAGTTCATATTGAATTTTCCCACAGTTGTTCAAAACATAGCATTTTCACCTTTTTATCCACACACACACATGCAAAAAAATAATAATAATTTAAAAATAGAATCCAATTTGGTTGTTCTTTGTCTTAAGTCTACCCTCTCTACCTGTTTTTTTTTTTCTTTTAATGAGAATTGACTTTCTGAATAGACCAGGCCAATTAYCATATAGAAAGTTTCACATCCTGGGTTATCTCATTGTTTTCTTATAATGTCATTTATTGTATAATTATAATTTCTTGTAAAAGACATTAGATAAAACAGCGTGACTAAATTCAGGTTAAATATTTCATAAGTGATGTTGTGTGTTGATTATTACATCAAATTTCATAGGTGATGTTGTGTGTTCATTATTACATCAAAAAAAAGAGTACAGAGTATCTGGTTGTTACAATATTTGTGATGTGTTTTAATTACATGGTTAAAGAACTAACCCCAGGTTTGCGATTAAGGAATAATTTAAGGGATTGTGCTTTGGCATCTTGTGAACACCCTATTCTGCTAACTTTTCATTTAGTGGTTTTCATTTCATTGGTTGAGTTTTTTTTCTTGAATCAATTATTTCATTAGACTTTATGAAGTAAACTTTATATTTCTGTTTCTCCTCTTCAATGATCAATTTCCAGTTTTCCCAAGCAGTTTTTCATCTTAAATATGTTATTTAAAATATAAAAGGTCAAAAACCCAAATTTTTAAGTATGACGGGATATTTGTAACGGAGACTTACTCATCTTTGGGTTTTTTCTTGTGTTTTCAGCAAAATGGGAAGCCACATTTTTATGAAAATCTCATTGTTGAATCTTTTGAGGAAGCACCTCTTCATGTTCTGGTTTTCACCTACATGGGATATGGAATTGGAACCTTATTTGGCTATTTCAGAGACTTTTTGAGAAACTGGGGAATAGAAAAATGCAATGCAGCCGTAGAGCGAGAAGAACAAAAGGTATGTATATGCATCTCCCTGGATCTGTGTCCTTGTCTGCTCCGAAATGCTCTCAGAAATGGTGATGCAGAGACAAGACCTAGATGGTCTGGAACTATTCAGGGTAAATTCTACTAATTTCTACCCCCTAAACCTCACTCTCTGTGTGTTCATGGATTTTTTTTAATTAGAGCTTTATATTTATACAGTAGGTTCTTTACAAGCTCATACATGCATAGAAATTGATAGATTTGTTTTTACAAACATTTTTTTAGCAACTGCTAATTGCCAGACACTGAATGTAAGCTCTTCTATCCATTTAAATGTTTAATTTATATATGTATATATGTCAGGAAAAAGATATCACTTGAAAGATAAAAACATCAAAATATAAGAGTAAGGACACCTGAGATCATACTCTCATCTTCTAACTATAGATTGAATAGTTACACCCTATCCTGAAATAGGAAAGTATATCTGAATGAAATATAATATTTTAATTTCATCTCATCAGTTTCTCAACTTTCCCACTATTGATGCTTTGCACTAGATAATTCTTTGATGTGAGAGGCTCCCCTGTGCATTGTAAGAATTTTAACAGCATACCTGCCTTCACACACTAGATTAATCACTGCCCTCCACAACACACACACACACACACACACACACTCTCTCACACACACACACACACACATTTGATCATCAAAAATTCCTCCTGACAGTACCAAATGTCTCATGGGATACAAAATCAGCCATGATTTAGAACCACTGATGTAGTCACTCTTTATAATTAACCTATAAAAGCCTACATCATCTGGTGTTTGCAAAGAGTTAGAGAACAACCTGGAAAATATTCAGAGCTCTACAAAAAACCCTGCATTGTGTTAATACATTTTTCAAATTGGTTCAAAATATTTATGATGCCATGAATCTCTTTTTTCCAAAACTTGCTTTTGGATATTGTGAATATTGCCATGAACATAGGTGAGACATGAATGTCAGTGTAACAAGAGACTCTCAACTCATGTGATTTATCAAGTACTACCATTGGTAAGATAAACATTTATCACACTAACACACCCATGAATAAATCATATGGATCACTTCTTTTGGAATTTCCTTAAGCGAAGTGTATCACTTCAGAAGAAAATCAGACTCAGTTCCATGATTATAATCCCTGTTGACCTTTACAAATATTTTAGCACATGTTAGGGGTGATCTACATAGAAGAAAATATAGGGCATGCCATCAGAAAATTTGAATTCCAGTATACAAACAAGTAATCCATTTGCTCAAAAGTGATGCTAGGGAACAGAGATGTGGCTCACAGGGATCTTTACCCTGTGACTCTCTTAGGAAATGAGGAAGTCTTGATGCTGAGGCCTGACTGAGGAGCAGGAGTTTGCCAAGTAAGCAAGGATGCAAAGGAAAACATTCTCAAAAGAGGGCATTGCTTATGCCAAGGTGTGTGTCCACTCATTAATCAAGCCAGTTTCTTTTTGAGCATGGGTTTTTGTGCTGTGGACTGTGCTACAATCTGGGGATACCAGAATAACCAAGTCGGGCATAGTTCCTGCACTCAGAGACTAAATTATAAAAAAGCAACAGCATTAGGGGAGGAAAGAGACATGCCTAACTTGAACCTTCTGCTCAGTGAAGCCTTCTGGGAGGGACAGAAAGTTGAAGTGAGATCTGAAGACTGAAGAGCAAGCAGTAAGGCAAAGGGTGAGGCAAGACCCAGTGGGGAGGGGCAAGGATTCTTTAGGGAGAAGGCATGTGGACAAGATGGTCCAGGGTAAGAGAAAGTATTGTGTATTCAAGGAATTCCAATGACTGGAGTGTTGTGAGTGGGAGCAAGAGTATGTGAGGAGGAAGACTGAGAGGCAAGCAGGGGCTGGAGTATAATGGGTTTTTATAAGCCATGGACATATATTGTAGAAACAGCGAGAAAGTGTTGAACAACTTCAGACAGAAGAATGCAAATTGGTATATGTAAAAAGATCATTCACTGTACTATGAGAAATAGGTTGCAGAAAGTCAACATAGARATGAAAACCTGGGCAAGAAACTTATACTGAAACCAAGGTAGTAATAGTAGGGGTGGTGATTAGGCCAAGAGATCTAGAAGAAGTGGAGCTAGAGATGGTCAATTTGACCTGGGAATTTAGGAAGATGGACAAAATCAATGGCAACACTCACATTTATGCAGATGGGCACAAGGTAGTGTCATTAATGAGATGAGAAATAGAGAATAAATATCCAGATGGAGGGGGAAACTGGTCAATTCCTTTTTTGCCAAGTTGAATTAGAAGAGGTGGCAACTAAAAATAGAGATCTGGACCATGAGAGAAAAGTCTCAGATGGACACCATGGCAACTTCAGTGTGTCTTCAGCATACTGACATGAATCAAAGCCAGAGAAGTCAACAAGATCTCCCAGGGCAGGTCTGAAAAGAAAAAGAGAGAGAGAGAGAGAGAGAGAGAGAGAGAGAGAGAGAATGAAAAAAAAAATGAACTTCAAGAATTTAGTACATGTCAGGGATGGAATTCCAATTCAGGACTAGAAACAAAGCAACCACAAAGAAAGCTAATGGTAGCTTAGAAAAGAGGTCATTGTGCTTAAAATAGGGAAGAAAGGAAGCAAATCAAAAGGGAACTCATTGTAGAGACATTTAGAAAGTCTTCAAGTCTTGGTGGCTGAATGTGTGGAAGGTAAGATAGGAGAAGGAATACAGGGAGGTTCCAGATTTCTTGCTTGGATTGACATGTGAATGGCAGTGTCAGATCCATCTTATATTGACAAACGATGGTGACAGAACCAAGAAAGGCCCCACAGGGAGCTCTGAAGAAAAAAGGCTCTTCAGAGTCATTCTGAACTGTGGGAAGGAGGCTGGGCATTTGAACTTTGGCATTGATAGGGGTTGCTCCTAAGGATCCTGGCTGAGGAAGATCCCTTCAGGCCCAGGTGATGCTCAGAGAAATTTTTAGCCTCCAATGCTTCCAACAACTAGTGCCTCAGTCTTTGCTGGGCACAAAATCAAGAGCCACTCACAGCTTTGTAGATTCAAACAGCAATCCTTTATTCCCGAACTCACACCGGCCCTGTACAAWCACGTTCTGGGGAAATTCAGGTTCTGCCGCAAAATACACGTACTCCCCCAGGCTTTTTATCCCAAATACCTTCTGAATTCCATGAGAACTCAACGTGAACTCAGGCAGCAGGATACGGCCTATTCCCAGCAGGAATAACCTTAAACCTGGAACTGCCCTAAACCCAGATTGTCCTAAATCAAGAACGCCCTAAACCCAAGGAGCGGGATACTTCCTAAAACCTGCAGGATACACCCTAAACCTGGATCCACCCTGGTCCTTGAGCAGGGTCACCTTTCTCAAACATACATGCAATGTCACAGCAAATTTCCAAGGCAAGTCCATTTCCACRAGTCCTTCCTCTAAGCAACATGGGGTACGCTGGCAAGGAAATTTCGATGCGTCATTCCTACTTGGCAATGGCCCTCAGCATCTCCCCGCTTCTGATTAATTAAACAACAAGCAATGTGGCTTAAGGACCGTGCCTGGTAGGTTGTCCAATTCAACATATGGTTCTTACCCGTCATGGGAAAAACTGACCTCTAGGCGTCAGCCTCCTGTCTTAGGTTGAAACCACTGCAACCAGATCAACCCGTCACTGACTACCGGTCCAGCATACAGCCATACTTGTGGATAGGCCTATGCACCAGTGGGGGGGTGAGATTCTTGCCTCACCTCTGTTGGCCCCCAAATTTAGCCTTGGTGCCAGTGGGGGGGTGAGGTTCTTTGCCTCACCTCTGTTGGCCCCCAAATTTTAGACCATCACTAGTAGAAGGGAGGAGGATACAGAAATGCCACAACACCAAGACAATTGATGGCTCCTTTGGAAAAATTGCATCACTGGTGACACCATCAGCAAAGATATGCCAGCACTACCACAATTAACATGGGGTGCACTGGCAAGGAAATTTCGATGCGTCATTCCTACTTGGCAATGGCCCTCAGCAAACTAGGAGAATGGGTAAGTCAGTCCTGAAGGAGGGACTGTGGGCAGCCTATGCTTTAACAGCATTCCAAATTGCTACAAGAACTGCTTAACCCACTTTATATGGGGAAGGCCCTGCCTTAAATAAATTGATAATTTACATTTCTTTACAAAATAAATGGTTTCCATCCTGTTTGATCTTTACAAGGTTGAGAGCATCAATCAATATGCTCACATTGATTGATGGCATACATTTTTATATGGTATATCTTTTATTATTTTTCCCATTTGAAACCCTTAAATGATTCAGAGMCTTTTAGAGTGACAGGTTCTGACTAACTGTGATCACTATATTCCTTCTGATGGGACTTGATTATTCTCAATCATGCCTACAGACTGACCCTTTATCCTTTGAATAGTCTTCTTGCTTCCTGTTAATGAACTATCTGAGGCACATCTTGAAGTCTTTTGCTCAAAACAGGAAATATGCTATTTTCCCATTCATCCCTGGTTCTTTTTAGTGGAAAGGAGTATTACATTTTAAAAACTGGTCGCTGAGAATGCAGAATGCATTGCCTGACGAGACAAAACAATCATTGGCAAATTTCCCAGGTGATTTTCACATGCAGCCAAATACTTTAGTACCATGCTTCTCAAACTTTACTAGGCACACAAATTATCTGATGGTCATGTTCAGATGCAGATTCTGTCACATCAAGATTCTGTATCTCTAAATAACCTCCCAAGAGAAGTGATGCTGCTGGTCCAGGGACCACATATTGATCCAATTTGGTGCTATCACCTGACAGCTTGTTAGAACTCTCAGGCCCAGCCCAGCATTTCTGAAGCAGATCCTTTATTTTAACATGATCATTGATGATGTGGACATGCACTAAAGTTTGACGAGCACTTCTATTCTAGAGATTCCTTATTTGAAGTTCACCTGTGATCAGGTAAAAAAAGCATCATCCCACGAAGCCTCTAGGTGCTCATCACCTTTCACTTGT